GGTAGCTGTGGGAGTCGGTGGGCTTGAAATGAATATCGGTTTCGAGGTGGTTGCCTGATATGGAGACAGAGAGGTCCAGGAAGGGGAGAGAGGTATTAGAGATGGTCCAGGTAAACTTAAGGTTGGGGTAGAAGGTGTTGGTGAAGTGGATGAACTGTTCGAGCTCCTGGTGGGAGCACGAGGCGGCGCCGATACAGTCATCAATGTAACGGAGGAAGAGGGGGTCTGAAGTGGAATGTGTTGTATACCATGGGGAAATTTACATGCAGAAAGCTTTAATTTGTAACAGACGCCTGAAGATAGATAAGTCCACATTTTTTAAAAAAAGGTTATTATTTTAATTGCTGCTTGAATGCGCTTGCCATGTACAGACTAGTCTCGCCCCCTTAAATCTGTGAATTGACTGAACAAAACCAAAGAGGTGTTTCGGAGCTCGCAGACTGTGAGGTAATAACTCCTTTCAGCACCCATGCACGTTTAGTAGAAGTGACACTTCCCAAGACAGATCGATTATTTCACCAGAGCTCAAAACTTGCATTAATTTCTACAATGCACACCTTCTGTTTTAAAAGCATATAGTGCACTGTAGAGTAACTAAGCAGTTTGACGAGCACTCTCTCAACATTACTTATATATAGACGTGTACATTGCTGGGATCTCCCCAGAGACCGCGGGCTGGGATTACTTTTATCTCGCCCTGTTAGGTAACTCTCTGATCTAGTGGGTAGCGAGGAGTCGGATAAAAGGACTGGTTGTGGGGCTGTTCAGTAGGTCGTGGCAGACAATACCTGCGGGTCACAGCATCACTCACTCTCCACTTTGTTTCAGGGTAAGCTGCTGGGAATTTTAATTTTGTGGGAGGTGGTATTTAAACAGAGAAGGGCTTTTGTAACAAACTAATTTGCAGCTGGGGTGGGTTTCTGACCTTAGCTACCCCCTTGCTAAAACCTGATAATTTTTCTCAGAGATAGTAAGAACTGCAGATGCTGGAGTCAGAGATAACACAGTGTGAAGCTGGAGGAACACAGCAGGCCAGGCAGCATCAGAGGAGCAGGAAAGAGTCGGGCGCCTTCATCAGAAAATGAACTTCCTCTGATGCTGCCTGGCCTGATAATTTTTCTGCCTATTTTGAGTCAGTTGGAAGAAGAAACGGGACTGTATTTTTTGGGAGTTTTAAATGAAAACACCACGTGTAAGTGAGTTTATTTGTACAAGAAAATTGCAGCAGTATATTTAAACTATCGACTAAAAACAAATTGGTACAATTCATTTAAATAGCGTCGAGGTGTGTGGACCCGAGGGTGGGCCGACGTGTTGATTCATGATTTACTAAAAAAGAGGAACATAGGAAAGTGATTGGAAAGCGTTCAGAGGTAATGAACGTAAGTTTTCTGCTCAATTGTTCCAACATAGTTTCCAAATTAAATAGCACGAAAAGCCAGTGAAAAGTCTGAATGCCCAACAAGAACAAAGACTGCAAACTATGTGTATATAGCAGCTTGCAATACGCAATAGGTCGACCATCATCACTTAGAGGTTCAGGTCGGTTTAATGGGCGCCGGCCACAGGGTCTGTTCTCCCATCAGAAAGTGCTGCGAGGAAAGCCGAGAATCTTGCACAAGTAAGAAATGCCTTTGGTTTGTTTGGTGGGTAGAGTCAAACTCCAATGATTGTTAAAAGAACTGCGGATGCTGTAAACCAGGAACAAGAACAGAAGTCGCTGGAAAAGCTCAGCAGGTCTGGCAGCATCAGAGAAGAAAAAAAATCAGAGTTAACGTTTCGGGTCCGGTTCTGAAAAGAACTCGATAATGAACGGAACTGATTAAAATACCAGACTGAACCATTATAAGGCAATGTTAATTTGAAATATACATTAAAAAAGAATTCTGAAGAAACTCAGTCGGTTTGGCAACTTCTGTTGAGAGCGAAGCAGAATTAACCTTTCCAGTTGTGTAACTTTCCAGTTCCTGATCTCAATGTTTTCAACAGCACTCCTGTTAAAAGGAAATTAAAAGCAAAGATTGGAGATGATTATAATTAACTTTAACAAGATTAACAACTGAGTTAAAAATAATTTCATTGATGCTGTCTTATATAAAAAGTGCAGTTAAGCTACTGAGTAACGTATATAAGGATGTGCTATATTTTAAACAGTGTTTCTGCTTTAACATCTGTTATTTGAAAATGCCACTCTCTGGAATGCAAGCTCAGAATAATGAGGTCGATAAATCTAATATAGGTTCTCTTTCTTTCAGATCACCACCAAAACGGTAACATGCAGCGACTGATATTGATGCTGCTTGTGTTTTCTATCTGCTTCACCAAAGGAAGTCTCAAATCATGTCCAAAATTACCGGTGCAAAGAAATTTCACTCTCAGTGAAGTGAGTAGATGTTGTTGATTAGTTAGTTATGTGGCATCACCTATCCTGCTGTACCAACATGCTTTGAAGCTTTTAGAAATTGTAGAAAACAGTACTTATTAAGAAGACTGAATAGCAGAGTGCTTCAGCACATTGTTCTTTCACTTCTGGGAATTGGATTTCACTCCAGCATAGCCTGATGAAACCAATTGTCTGCTGAAGGTAACAGAGGTCCTGTATGTAATATGAACATGCAAACATATGAATTATGAGCAGAAGTAAGCCTTTCAGCCCCCTCTGTCATCCAACAAGATCATGGCTGATCGATTACTCCACATTCCCATTGATTTCTGATAAACTTTCACCATGTTTTTGAGAATCAATCTACCTCTACCTTAAAAATATTCAAGGAAACTGCCTTCATTGCTTTTTGAGGAAGATGTGCCATCCTCTTGTCTCTGTCTTAACTAGGCAACCACCTATTTTTAAACAGTGACCCCTAATTCTAGATTCTTCCACAGGAGCAAATATCCACTCTGCATTGACCCTGTCCAGATCCCTCAGGAAAATCTGTTTCAGTCCAGTTACTTTTACTCTGCTAAACTCCAGCAGATACAAGCCAAGCCTGTCCAACCTTTCCTCATAAGCTAACATACACTTTTGAGATATTAGTCTGGTAAACATTCTCTGAACTGCTTTCTTTGCATTTATATCCTTCCTTAAATAAGGAGATTAATATGTACATACATTCTATTAGCTTTCCTAATTACTTGCTGTACTTTATACTAAATCTTTGTGATTAATATTACCCAGTCCCCTCTCTATCTCAGAGCCCTGCAATCTCTCACTATTCAGATATTATGCTATTGAGTTGTTCTTCCTACCAAAATGGAAAATTCCACATTACTCCATTAGCCTGATATTTGCCCGCTCGTGTAGCTTATCCATATACCTTGTAGCCTCCTAATGTCCTCTTTACAACTTGCTTTCCGATTTATCCTTGTTTCATTAGCAAACTTAGAAATTATACCTTCAGAACTTCAGTAAAGTAATTTATGGCACAAGTTGAAGCTTCAGCACCCATCTGTGGGTACACTATTTGTTACATCTTAGCTAGCCAATTTTCTTTCCATGTCAACACGTTACTCCCAAACCATGAGTTCTTTTACATTCCACAATAACTTTTAAAGTGGCATCTTGTCAAATGCCTTCTGAGAATCCAAGCTCAGTCCATCCACAGGTTCTTTTTCCACAGCACATTACTGTCTCAAAGAACTCCAACGGTTTGGTTAAGCATGTTTTTTTTGAGTTTTGTTGTAAGGCAAATGAATGAGAAAGTTGAGAAAACTTTATTCCAGATCTGGCTATATTACATTTGAATCAAGAAACTGTACCGCACAAAATGGTTAACTAATGTTGTCAAGCACTGGCATCTTTCATGTTAAGAATTGTAATATTTACACTCAAATAAATGTAGAAGGTATTGCAAAGCACACTAATTGACTGTTTGCAGTCACTGCCAAAAGATATAATGTAGTAAAATATAACATAATATATTATAAAGGAGATTGCATATAGAGCAATTAATGAGACATGTATTTGTTAGATATTGATGTTGATTTGAAGAAAGGAAATTGCAAGACTCTGCCACATCATTAGATGACCATTTTATAATCCAGAATCCATGCTAATCTGTGGAGGACAAATTCCACCATGACAGATAATGAAATTTGAATTTAATAAAATCTGGAATTAAAACCATGTAACCATTGCTGCTGGTCATAAAAACCTATCTGGTTCACTAATGTCTCGGTAGGGAAGGGCTCTTAGCTAGTCTGGCCACATATGACTCCAAACCCACAGAAATGTGATCTCCTGTAAACTGCACCTGAAATGGCCTGGAGAACTAATCAACTCAAGGGCAATTAGGAATGGACAGCTAATGTCAGCCTTGCCAGTGATGCTCGCTTCCCATACAGTAATTTACAAAATAATTCCCTTTGTTTCACTTCATGTCTCTTCTTCATAGGAAGGAATCCACAGTTTTCTTCTGGATTGGTTTTGATTTTTTTGAAAAACAAATTCGATGACCTGCAAGGCATAATTTACAAATTTTTGTTTTGTGTTTGGAAAGACCTAGCAGTAATAGCACATTGCTAAGTAAACAATTGGCTTTTTGGATGGAAGAAGCATTCAAGATGATTTATTAATGTATCATGTGAGCTTGATGTTTATGACTCAGCTAATTTGAGGGGGGAAAATAAGTGAAGAAACAAAGCACATTTCAGAGGTGGAAATCTAATTCCAGACTCTTTTGCATGTCACTCATAGAGGTGGATAGTTTGTTCATGGACCATACTGTTTCTATGAGTTACCTTTTGGCTTTTAAGGGGTTGAAATTTCATGCACCCCTTACAAGGGAATTGAAAATTGTTCTGGGCTTCCTGAGGCCAAGAATTCCTGCTGCTCTGACTAGAAAGAAACCTGTTGTAATAATGACAACTGTCAACTCAGTGGTCACGTACCAAACTCTACAAGATCATATGTGGACCCGACCAGTGAGGCATCTCTGAATTGTTTCAAATAAAAGGAAAAATGAGCAAAGTGTTTTTTTTTTCTTCTTTATTCACTAACGGGATGAAGGTGTTGCTGGCTAGGCCAGCATTTATTGCCCATCCCTAATTGCCCCGAGGGCAGTTCAGAGTCAACCACATTGCAATGGGTCTGAAGTCACATGTAGGCCAGACTAGGTAAGGATGGCGGTTTCCTTCCCTAAATGACATTAGTGAACCAGATGGGTTTTTCCAACAATCAGCAATGGATTCATGGTCATTGTTAGATTCTTAATTCCAGATATTTTTGCTGACTTCGAATTTCGCCATCTGCCATGGTGGGATTTGAACTCGGGTCCCCAGAATGTTATCTGGTCATTCGTCTTGTGGAGATGCAAATCAGTCCATTGGCAGAGTTGGAGGTAACTGGAACCAATCCTCCTCACACCGAGAGGTGCTAATATTTCAGATAGGCGTGGAGAAGTGGGTGTTGGAGAAGTCCCTATAGTGATTCGTAAACCAGCCTGACTCATGCAAATGTTGTGTCCTCCTCCAATGTAAACTTGATGACCAACAATGAGATTGTGCCCTGAGATATTTTGGATCATTTTTAACTATTAATCTTGAAGCATGTTATCCATATGACTTGCCTACACATCATGATGGAAAGGGACTAGCTTAAAACATGGAAGACTGTTGACATCTTTTTCTAATTGTCACTGATTATGAATTCCTTTGAAGACCACAAAGTTCCACTTGGACTCAGAATTTTGATTAATTGTTCAAAACCCTTTGCAACATACATGCCACTAACCATTTTGGCAAAAAATATTGGTCCCTCCATATAAAAGCCAAACTCACTTTCTCAAAGGAGTGCATTTTTACATTTATATGCATGGAAGTGTTATACAGTACTAATCAATAATTGAAATTTAAGGGTATTAAAAATTGCAATGATTTTGCTGAGTTCATTTTATTGTCAAATTGTAAATAAAAAAAGGAGATAATGATTTAGCCTCAATGAGAAGCATATGGTTGTACCAATTGGCAAACATGCCAATTCTTGGGGTAATGTTTGAAATAGTGACATGAAAAGCTGTTTCAAGCTGAAGTTGGTTTCCTTCCATATTATAGGAGCCGTGGCAAGGATGGCTTGCTCACAAAAATATTTGGAAGAAACGTGCAGTGGTTTTTTTAACATGTCTTCATATATGTTCAAACAGATATATTTTAATTCTGTTCTCAATGCATTTTTTTCAGAACCTGTGTGTGCCACATAGATGATCTTCACATCCTGCCCCACTAGTTCAGAATCACTGATCTGGGCTGACATTTCAGTGCAATACTCAAGGACCATTGTTTTGCGATACCTTTTGGGTGAATCAAAGCCGCAACTTCCAATTCAGGCAGACATAAAACGTACCGTTACACTTTGAAAACCAGAATGGATTTCTTCCAGTGTAATAACCAGCAATTATCCCTCAAACAATTATAAAAGGATGCATTTGATTGCTGCAATGCAAAGCTTCATACAAATTGACTGCTGTGCTTGACAGTGATCATATTTTAAATAGTAATGAACTATGTGATGTCTGAGATGATCTGAAGTATGAAGGGTTCACAGGAAATGAAAGTTGTTTTGATATTATTGTTGAATTTTAGGTGATGTTTACATTCAGGTTCATTAACCTAATGTTTAACATTTTGCTTTTCAGTTCATGGGAACATGGTATGAAATTAAAGCACTTTCTACACGTTTCCTGAGAGGAAGCTGCATCACACACACCTTTGCCAAAAGCTCTAATCTTTGGATCAACGTTAACACTACAGAGAAGAAGTAAGTATTCCAGAAATAAAGGGAAAGTGGAGCAATTGGTAAAAATCAAGACTGCAAAAATGGTAAATCATATTGCAAACACACATAATCATTGCAACAATAAAAACAAAAATATTGCCTGAATTGGTTTCAGTCAGTCAGTTCACTATTGAATATTTTGAAATTTTTTTGTTTTTATTTCAGATTTCCAGCATTGCAATATTTAATTTCTGCACGTTTGTTTTAACAGACCCGTTAATAAATCTATTTTATTAAGATAAGTCAGGAGCTCTGAAGAAGCTGTTGCAGTTAATTTGGATTTTATTTATCAAGATGCAAAAATCAGGTTTTGTTCTGTTCAGGTATAAAGCCTAACCTATCAAAGGATATCGATGGAGTTGCTCAAAGCAATTGTAACTTATCATCAACAACACAAATAGTTCACATTTGTCTAATATTTTAGAAGTATTTTTAAAAACTCAAAACATGAGCATACAGAGACAAAAATTGAAATTGAACTAAAGATTGATTCAGGTCACTAGCCACTTTCATGGAGTGGGAGAGAGAGAGAGTTGGGAAGCTTTAGGGAGGGAATTCCAAAGGTTGACATTTGGAAAGCTGATGGCACACTGCCATTGGGTGATGGGAAAGAGAAAATTGTATCCAAACTTAAATGGAAGGGTAGGATCTGACAACAAAATAGACAAGAGATTGGAGGATTTTTTTTTTAGCAGTGAAATTAATCAACCAAATAGTTTCCTGATGAAATTAGTGTCCGAATTAGGAGTAAACATGTTATGAAACAGTGCAAAGAAATTCAATGACAAGTAGATTTAATGGTATTTCAGGAACGAGGCTTTGCAGGTACAAAACTTTGAAGATGGCAAAACAAGTGGATAAGACCTTTCTCTTTCTGAAAATAAGCACATGGGATGGTAGGATTTATAAATATGAGCCAAGGAAAGAAGTTATGCTAAAGCTTAACTCACTAGTTTGGCCTTGGTTAAAGTACCGCGTCCAATTTTTAGCGCAACACTTCAGCATGTATGTCAAGATTTTGAAGTGAATGCAGGGATACTAGAATGTCACCAGGGGTGAGAGATTTCTGTCATGTGGAGACACTTAAGGTGAGATTTTTCAGAAACTTATTAACTGAAATGTTTTAAAGTTTTAATAGGACAAATAAGGAAGAACTATTTCCTCTGAGAAAAAGAACTACAGGTAAAATTAGAAGAATTTTTATGCAGCAAGTGGTTATAATCCATGATGCACTGCCTGAAAGGGTAGTAGAAACATTTTCAGTAGTAACTTTAAAAAGGGACTTAGATATATGGAAAAGAAAAAATGCATGATTACAGAGAACATTACATTTCAATGATTAGATATATACAATTATAGATATGTGCAATTGATGGTATGAATTGAAAACTTTTATCAGAGAATTTGTCTCATGCAAATGATCAGAAAAGGTAATTAATTTAGGGTAATTATTATGCAATGAGAGTATGAAGTAGTCAAATTGAATAAGAAAAACACTCTGTAAAATTATAAAAGCAAATACATGGTCACACTGATTCAAATGTCAAAGTATAGCTGACTGTTTAATAATGGTGATTTGGTAAGTTTCATTGAATTGCTTTCTGCAGATTTATTTTCAGGCTCTTGGGGAAGATTGTTGGATTAATTGTTTACTCTTGCAGTTTATTTAAGACACCTTCTTCCTGCCTCATTTCCGATGAGTGTGCCTGAAATCAACTTGACAACTGCTGCTATCTTTAATTTCTGCAATAGGCTGTTATTGTCTTGCCCTTCATCACTAAGACTTCTGATTCATTCATCATAGAATCCCTAACAGTGTGTATACAGGCCATTTGGCCCATTGAGTCCATATCAACCCTCCAAAGAACATCCCGTCCAGACCCGCCCTATCCTTGTAACTCTGCATTTCTCATGGCTAACCCACCTAGCCTACATATCCCTGGACACTATGGGCGATTTAGCACGACCAATCCACCGAACCTGCACATGTTTAGACTGTAGGAGGGAACCCACATAGACACAGGGAGAATGTGCGAACTCCACACGGACAGTTTCCTGAGGGTGGAATTGAACCCAGATGCAATGCTGATCACTGAGTCACCGTGATGCCCTTTATTGCATACTATCTTTTACAGGACATCATTGCTGAATCACTCCTCCCTTGGAACCTTTTGTATTCCAAACAGGTTGTCAATGCCTTCTAGGGTTTATTGATTCACTTCCGCTCAGAGACAGTCTGAGCATATTTTTTAAAATCAGGTTACATAATGGCAAAGGTGGCAATGTCAAACTAGCATCATATTATGATCAAGGACAATTATTAATATCTTTTGCATACATGAAATATTGGGAAAGGATTATTTTCTACAGCACACCATTTTTGAAAGAAAAAGAGCAATTCTAGAACTAGGAGACTAGGGAGCTAGTGATGGCTTAGTGGTGTTATTGCTAGATTATTAATCCTGAGACTGTGGGATGTTGGTTCAAATCCTGCCATTGTGGATGGTGGAATTTGAATTCAATAAAATCTAGAACTAAGAGTCGATTGTTATTGGTTTTTGGGCGACATGGTGGCTCAGTGGCTAGCACTGCTGGCTCACAGCGCCAGGGACCCGGGTTCGATTCTACCCTTGGGCGACTGTATGGAGTTTGCACATTCTCCCCGTGTCTGTGTGGGTTTCCTTCAGGTGCTCCAGTTTCCTCCCACAGTCCAAACGTGTGCAGGCTAGGTGGATTGGCCATGCTAAATTGCCCTTAGTATTCAGGAATGTGTAGATTAGGTGGGTTATAGGGGGATGGGTCTGGATGGGATGCTCTGAGGGTCAGTGTGGAATTGTTGGGCCGAAGGGCCTGTTTCCAAACTGTAGGCATTCTATGATCTATGATAAATCTCTTACATATCCCTCAATCTCCATTTTTCCAAATTTCAGCCAGTAATCAACAGCTAGTAGTTGAGAAGTGTGGGAAACTGTCTTTATCTCAGCAATGCAACACCCAGACTATTTTAAAGTAATGACATCATTCCCGCTGAAGTTATAGATGTCCCCTACAAGAACTAAATGGATTAAATTAATGAAAACATTTTGAAAATCATTCAGCATTTCAGAGCTTTTCTGATTGTTGAGAAACATCTTAATTTTGTCCTTCAAGATGTGCCTTGATTTAATATTGTTGAATTCACTTCTGGTTTCTTTAAAAATACTGACCAGGATAAATTTTTGATAAACTTTTTTCTTTAACCTCTCTATCCATCTTCTTTGGGGGGAAAAATGTGCAGGAATAGATTCTGATTCAGTCATTTGGCTCCACATGTTATAGTTGCTGGAGAAATTGTTTTCCCCCTGAGTATTGCTACAGAGCATTATAACAGGAAATGATTTTTCAAGTCACATCTCTCATAGTAGTGTGAGCCAGACCTGGTCATGTTGTATTTCTGAGATTCCAAATTGTTTCATCAATATTAGGTTACAAAATGCTGAAGTAAAGGTTATTCACACATCTTTTTAAAAATTGTGTTCTGTGCAGGGACGATGGTAAAAGAATACTTTACATGGGAAGATTAACAGTAGCTCGTCTGAACGAATCAGCTAATCTTCAAGTACGGTGGGCAGAAGGTAAGTACAGAAAAAAATTAAATCTACTTTCATTGGTCTAAAATTCTTGCCAGTTTTTCATTAAACCCAAAAGAACATAAGAAATAGAAGCTGAATCAGGCCATTTGGTCCATTGAGTCTGCTCTATCATTTGACCGTAGCTGATATTTTTCTCCTGCCTTTTTGCTTCATAACTCATGTTCTCCTTACTGACCAAGAACCAATCTATCTGTCCGAAGTACACTCAATGACTTGGCCTCCACAGCCTACTGTGGCAATGAGTTTCACAGATTCACCACCCTTTGGCTCAAGAAAGTTCTTCTCATCTCTGTTTTAAAGGGTCATCCCTTCACTCTGAGTCTGTGCCCTTGTGTCCTAGTCTCTCCTACTAGTGGGAGCATCTTCTCCATATCTGCTCATTATCCTACTCGTTTCAATCCGATTCCCCCTCATCCTCCTAAACTTATTGAGTATGGATCTAGAGTCCTCAACTGCTCTTCATGTGGCAAGTCCTTCATCCCCAGGACCATTCTTGTAAACCTTCTCTGGAACCCCTCCAATGCCAGCATGTCATTCCTTAGATATGGGGGCCCAAAGCTACTTACAATACTCCAAATGTGGTCTGACCAGGGCCTCATGCAGCGTCAGCAGTACATTCCTGTTTATGTATTCCAGCCCTCTTGAAATGAATGCCAACACTGCATTTGCCTACCTAACTGCCAACTGAACCTGCATGTTAATCTTCAGAGAATCCTGAAGTAGGACTCCAAGTCCCTTTGCGCTTCAGACTTTCAAAGCCTTTCCCATTTTAAAATAATAGTCTTTGCCTCTGTTGTTTCTACCAAAGTGCATAACCTGGCACTTTCCCAAATTGTATTCTGTATGCCACTTCTTTTACCACTTGCCTAGTATGTCCAAGGCCTTCTGCAGCCTCCCAACTTCTTCAATACTAACCAGTCACTCCACTTACCTTTGTGTCATCTGTAAATGTAGCAACAATGTCCTCAGTTCTTTTGCCCAGATTGTTAAGATATAACATGAATAGTTGTGGTTCAAATATGGACCCTGTAGGAACTCTACTTGTCAATGGCTGCATTCCTGAAAAAGACCTCTACTCTCTGCTTCTGCCAGTCAGCCAATCATCTATCCATGCCAGTAACCCGAACCCTAAACCTAACCCTAACCCTAACCCTATCGCAGTCCCTAACCATGTTGGGTCTTATTTATCAGTTTCTTGAATGGTACCTTGTCAAAGGCCTACTAGAAATCCAAGTAGATCATGTCCACTGGCTCTCCTTTGTCTAACTTGCTCATTAGCTCTTCAAACAATTCTAACAGTTTAGCCAGGCATGAACCCTTACTTAACCAAGCTGTGCTAACTCAGCCCTATTTTACCATGCACTTCCCAGTACTCTGCAATCTCATCCTTAAGAATGGGTTCTTAAAATCTTACCAATGACCAAGTGCAGGCTAATTGGCCTATAGTTTCTTCTCATCTGCCTTCCTCCCTTCTTAAACAGTGGTGTCACATTAGCCATTTTCCAGTCACCTGGGACCCTCCCTGACTCCAGTGATTTCTTAACTATCACCACCAATGCCTCCACAATCTTCTCAGCTATCTCCTTAAGAACCTTGTGGTGTTGTCCATCTGATCCAGGAGGTTTATCCACATTCACAGATTTTCGCTTCCCCGGCACCTTCTCCTTAGTGATGGCCACTACACTCACCTCTGCTCCCTGACTGTCTTGAAGTTCTGGTTTATTGTTGGTGTCTTCCACTGTGTAAACTGATACAAAGTACGTATTCAGCTCTTCTGCCATTTCTTTGTACTCCATTACTACTTCTCTTGCCTTATTTTCTAATGTTTCAATGTCTACTCTTGCCTCTCCTACCTTTTCTATATCCAAACAAAACTCTTGCAATATTTCACATTACTACCTAGCTTAGTCTCATATTTCATCTTCTCTGCCTTATTGCTTTTATTTTAGTTATCCTCTGTTGGTTTTTAAAGGCTTCCCAGTCTTCTAGCTTCCCACTAATCTTCACTTCATGGCATGCTTTTTATGCTATCCCTGACTTCCCTTGTTAGCCATGGCTGCCTCATTCTCCCCTTGATATGTTTCTTCTTCTTTGGAATGAATTTCTGCTGTGCCTCCAGAATTACCCCGAGAAACTCCTGCCATTGCTACTCTACCATCTTCCTTGCTAGGATTTCCTTCAAATCAACTCTGTCCAGCTCCTCCCTCATTCTTTGTATCTACCTTTGCCGAAGTGTAACACTGTTACTTCTAATTCAATCTTCTGCCTCTCAAACTGCAGGGTGAATTCTATCATTTTATGGTCACTGGCACATCGGGACTCCTTCACCCTCAGCTCCCTAATCAAGTCTGGTTCATTACACATCACTAAATCCAGAATTGCCTGTACCCTCGTGGACTCAACCACAAGCTACTCCAAAAAAAAAGACATTCCACAAATTGCTTTTCTTGAAATCTGGCACTGATTTTCCCAGTCCACTTGCATACTGAAGTTCCCATGATTATTGTAAAGAGAGGCACAATTACATGCCTTTTCTATATCCTGAATTATTTTCTTCCCAACATCCTGAATACTGCTGGGAGGCCTGTTACCAACTAGCATCAGGTTCTTTTCCCTTTGCTGTTCCTCAACTCTACCCTCACAGATTCTGCATCTTCTGACTCCATATCACTTCTTGCTGTTGGTTTAATTTCGTTTCTTACTAACAAGGCAACCCTGCCTCCGCTGCCAGCTGCCTGTGCTTTTGATGGGATGTGCATCCTTGGATATTTAGTTACCAGCCCTGATCCCCTTGCAGCCATGTCTCTGTGATACCTACAACATTGTCCCCGCCAATTTCCATCTACTCGAGAAACTGGTTTGTCTTGTTTCATATACGGTGTGAATTTGCATCTCACACCCTCAGTCCTGTGTTGACTGCCCCTGTTCTCATAGTTGTCCTCTTATCTGCTGTGCCTGACGCTAGTGTCTGGAAACAGTCAGGAATCTCTGTCCTATTACTTGTTCTGGAGACTTTAACCTCTGCTGAGTGCCCACTCCCCACCCTCAACATTTTCTATAATTTTCAGTGCAACTGAACCCATGCCCTGACTATTTAGTTTTAAGCCCTTTCCAAAGCCCTAGCTATACAACTCATAAGGACTGTGGACCCAGTATAATTCAGGTGCAGCCTAACCATCAAAACCCTTTGTCCTTCCCCAGTACTGGTGCAAATGTCCCATGAATTCAAACTTGTTTCTCCCAAACCAATCTTTTAGCCACTCTTTGTTGTCTCTATGTCAATTTACTCATGGCTCAGGGAGTAATCCAGAGATTATTTCCTTTTTAGTTCTGCTTTTTAAATTTAACCACTAGCTGCTCATACTCCCTCAACAGAACATCTTTCCTCTTTCTACCTATATTGCTATTGCCTACATGAACCAGGACAACTGATCTTTTCCCTCCATTCCAGTTCCTCTGGTCAACCACATGTTAAAGTGAGCAGCGGGAATCTTGCAGCTGCTCCTGGGATTGCAGGCTTAGTTAAAGATTTATTATAGTGTTTTTTTAACAGTTTTACACTTACTTTAGTTTACTAATATAAGTTGTCCTTCCATCTTGTTTTATTAACATTCAAAAAAAGCCAAACAAAAAAAAATCACAATTTATTTTAAACACACTCTTTTAAACCCTTTTTTATAAGGATCTGCAGTGAATGGCTGAGTTTTTTTATTCTTAATTCAGAAATTTAAAAGAAGTCTTTATGTGTTTTAGAGGTTATTTTTAATATTGCAAAGATATTTTTGGAAAAAAACTGAACAGTTTTTTAAAAAATAATTTTTAAAAATGAGGAGTTGTGTTTTTATTCTGGACAGTACTACATGTGGTCAGCTCAGGAGAAGATTTGTTTTTCTTCAAGTAATTTATTGAAGAGGAATTGTTTTTATTCAGTTAATCAGCCAAGTGGTTGATTTTATTTAATTTTTATATATTGTTATGTATAAATATATATATTTTAAATTCTTTTCCATTGTGACATTATTTTCTGTAGGTAATGAAAGGTAGTTTATTTTATATATAACATTTTTTTTTGGCTTAATGTTATTAAGGCCATATATAAGGTACAGAGTGAGACGGCTAGTAGATTTAGAAAAGTTATTAGCCAGCAGGATCAGTCAGATGGATGGGTGACTGTCAGGAAAGGAACGAAGATCGAGGAATAGCCACCAGAGACTTTTGAACTATCAAATAGATATTCAGTTTTTGGAACAAATGAAGGGGATAGTCTGTCTGAGGAAATTGGAAGGGCCAGTCAGATATTGGACACTTGGAATGATTTTTTGTGTTAGGCAGCATTTGACAAGACTTAGTAGAATTATTGTTATAAGGGACTCTCTGGTCAGGGGCTTAGACAGGCAATTCTGTGGCAATGAGTGTAAATTTAAGATGTTTTGTTGCTTTCCTGGTGCTAGGATTAAGAATGTTTCTAAACATTTCAAGTGTATTGTTAAAGATGATATTGAGAAACCAGAAATTATTGTACACATTGGTAGGAATGACATTTTTAGGGAAAATATTAAAGCAGTATAGAGTGAATTTAAGAGGTTAAGTAGAAGATTAAAAAATAAAACCTTAAAAGTAGTAATTTCTGGTTTACTTCCAATGCCAAACTCAAACGAGGAAAGGAACAAAAGGTTAAAGGGGACAAGTCAATGGTTGAAGAGCTGGTGTATTGTTCAGGGATTCAGCATTTTGGACAATTGGAATGTCTTTTGGGATAGAAATGGACGGGTCTAACCTAAACTGGAAAGGGACCAATATCTTAGCAGGGAAATTTATACTGATAGAGAAGGTGAGTGAAGGAATTCTAAGTAGTGGTGTAAATGGAAGGATTGATGGGGTAGGTTCTGAATGTGAGCAGAGCATGTTAATTAGAAATACAAGAGAGAGTCAGAGTGTGCAGTAACTCTGAAGAACTAAATTGCATTTCTTTCAATGCAAGG